GTTATAATTATATCTTATATCTTAATACTTATATGGTACTGCAAAAGAATTTGAGCAAACTGTGCACAATCTACCATACTACAGACAATTTATGCTTATTAGTGGTATTTATTATGAAAATATTTGAGCTATTTTCCTAATATTCAGCAAAGCATTTAGTTTCCCCTCCCTTTCAGTGTCACTGAGCTTAAGCCAATGTGAAAGAGTCAACGCAGAAATGTCAACATAATGTATCAAGTTTATTTTTTCTAAGGGCTTTTGGCATGGAGTACTCAGTTTGGGTTGGATTCTCAGGAGATTGATTTCAAAAGCTTGTGAGAGGCCCCTTTCTCCCACTGAGTGATTAAGGCCTCGTGTGTGGTAGCTCAATGGCCCTAATCCAGCTTTGATAACTGCCCCCTGCATTCAAACACTGAGAGAGGGCCAGAGTGACTTCACATCCTGTTAATTACCAACTCCTCCATCAGTAAGAACTATGCACTCTCACAGAGTTCCCCAGCCTCTTTGGCTGCCCCAGCATGCCTCTTCTCCATGTGATTTACAGGCACTTTGAGACATAGATGCCCTTTTCATGATCGCAATGACGGCTGACCCCCCTTCTGGAGGAGTTGAGGGTTTTTGTGGTAAAGGGTGGAGCGTTTGACAACCAGTTTGGTGAAAGTTCTGCGGGTGTGTGTTGAGATGTCAATGATAGGTTGCAGTGTGTGTGAAAGGTCAGCAGGTCGGGCCTCGGGGAAACGGTGTCATTATGCTAAGTTAACAATAAAAGGGCACTCGTGGTGCTCTTTGCTTTTGAAGCAGGATGGATAGTCTATCGCATACCAGCACAGGTCAAGAATGTGCCGTCGGCCACATGTGAGGGGGAACAGTAGGAACAGGAGATTTAAACAATCTTGAGTCATGCTCGTACACATTTGGCGAAAGCATTAAAAGCAAATTGGAAAGTCTGAGTGGGAACGAAACCGCCCGGAATGGTGGCATCATCAAGCTAGATTGAATTCCCATGAAGAAACAAGTAGTGCATTTTTCTCGAGCCAAATTCTTCTCGTAACGTCTGTCACAGTCACGGCGTATTACGCAATAACTCGCAAGCCTCTGAGCCAGAACTCCGGTCTCAGCTGATGGAGCAATCCAATGGTTTTTCATTCTTTCTTTCGGCTCTGAGGGAATGAGAATCAGATGTTTGGTGTTGGGGGAACGATCTCCCACCCATCCGGCTGTAGCCTGCAGCTGGAGGCACTAGTACATGTGCACTACATGGTGACAGGAAAGTGAACATTCCACCCTCCTTCCGTCACTAGCCGGCAGCTGCGAGAGCGAAGGGGAAAAAACGTCCTGTGAAACAGCGTTTCTTGAGTGGATCTTTGCCCGTGTGGCCATGGAGATGCGAACTTCCTGTACAAGCTCTGTCAGAGCTTGTAAGCAGACTAGCAGATATCGCCGCTGATCTTTTGTTGCTCAGTTGGACACCGAAGGAACCCCACCGTCTCCTCCTCCTTTCTGCCCGCTCAAAACAGTTCAATTTCCTGCTGGCATTTCACTCCGGCAACTTTTTTCAGCTATCTCCTTCAGACTTCGGTTCCCAGACGCTCCCGGGCTCTCGGGGGAAGGGGTGGGTCGGAGGGTGAGACTTTCTGACTATCATATGAATCTCTGCCTTTTCTTTAAGCGCCACTGGAGGTGGGGTCTCAAACAAAAGGTCTTTCAAATGGATCTGCATCACTATTTGAGCTGCACAATGGTGAGGAGGGGCCAAAAAAGTCAACAAATCATTCATATCGGCCTCTATGGTCTAAGGGCTGAAAGGCGGGCCCAAAAGTACGAAAGGTGGGTCAATGTTGTGGGCTACAGCGGAAATATATACGGCGTGATCGTACATTAATTAATGCAACCGGCTAATCTTGTAGTCTGCACAGTCACCGCATGCCTAAATCATTTATGCGCACAGGAGAACGATGGCGGAGCAAGAATTCCAGAGAAAGATTTCCAGAATTCCAACGTTTTCCTCTGAAATCCCAGCTGGGTCACTTCATTTAAGCAGTTTCCTTTGCAAACAAAAATCAGTGTACACAACAGATACTTGCTGTTTGCCTAAACAAACAGAGTAAAACTAAACAGTAGTACCACTTTTGAATGTGGTATTTCACTGTCCACCCACAATACAAGTCCCTTAACATGCTTAAACTGAGCATCAACTAGTACTTAAACTCATACGGTTTAATTCATTAGTTTCTGTCATTCTTTTTTAGCTCAAAACACAGCTCAATTCTATGTAAAATAGGCTCATTATAGGTCTTATTCACAAAGCTATTTGCCGTCCACAGTTAATGTTGCATCCTGGTTAAGAACTTCTTTTAAATTGGATGAGTACATTTTCTATTGATCACAGCAGCACTAATTCAGCAAATGATGGAGAACCATGGGTAAACAATAAAATTTTTTCCTGCTGACCAAGTTGAGCCAGTAGTTCCTACCTTGCAAACATTTTCACTGGCCTATCAGAAAAGAGCGATCAATTTTTATTTCTAGTAATGTATTTTATGCTTGCTATTTATAAATATTTACATTTTTCATTAAATTATTTATTTTTGAATTTATTTTAGCTAGCTAGCTAGATAACATTATCCTAATGATAAATCAGCATAATTTGCATCAACAATGTAGATTACATCACAGAAAACCAAACATTTAAGTTTGCAGAGCATAAAAATAGATACACAAGATCAATTAACATAAAATATTCAATACACAGCACTGGTCTTTCACATTGGCCCACGGTCAATGGCCATCCTTATTAATGAGACCTGAGAAATGCGCTTTGAAGAGTCATATATCCAGATGTGCCAAGTATATCATATTTTAAGCATTTTAAAGAGCAGATTCACATTTTAGTTAAATGTACATGTTAGCATGAAACTCGTTAGATCTTTCAAATCATGTCATGACCCTGTAAACCTAGTAAATATGTTCACATTTGCATGATATCTGTAAAAGCATAACAGAAAGGAATTTGACTAATATGACTGTTTACCTGGAACAAATTTCACCTACAGGAATTAGGGTAACACTTTAACCAGAAGTTCATCCACCTAGAAAAGTAGTCAAGTTCACACATTTTACTGAATAAGTGTTACTGAAAAATACCTAATTTACATTTCTGCTCGTAAAACCTCCAGTACGATCGCCCAACAGTCGTCCATTGTAAGTGCCTTACTATAAACATGTTTTTATTTGTTTTTACAAACTGAAGGAAGAATTATTCTCTTCCCACTTATTTTCCTTCGTTTAATAAACATTCAGAATCCCGTGACTATTTAACCATTGAAAAGAGTCAATGCTCAAATCCTGACCATGTACCATTATGAATTTGATGCCTAAAATAATAAAGAAAGCAATAACAAAAGGACTCATTTCTAACTCATAAGCTCTCTGTTGTACAAGCTAATAATCGACATGCCATGTCAGCGGGCCAATAAAAAAGATGGGGCATGAGAAACTCATGCTGAGCGTTCAGCCAAGAGAGGAAGACCGTAGAAGAACACAATATTTCTCTTATTCTGGCCACGCTGAGAGAAAAAGGAAAACAAGTCCTTGTGAACCCATGAGGAACTGTTTGGGAAGTGAAACCTCAGCACCTTAAGTACGTCTGATCCAGATGAGGGCAGTTATTCCTGGACTGGTGTTGAAAAGAGGTGGGGAAGCCATGAAAAGAGGTGGGGAAGCCAAGCCAAAGACTACCCCTTTGGGACCTGACCGCTACACTCCACCCTGGTGAGGGGGCGATTGAAGGTAACGCTGCTCCAGCGCTGGAGATATCGCAGCTGGACGGATCAACAATCCAGGCATAGGTCAGCATGTCAGCCGTTCTTGCATTGAATAAATGAGGAGCTCCGGACGTCAGGGTGTGTTATTATGGAACAATGTTGCCTGGCGATATTGAAATATTACCAGCAGAAGCACGTGACAGCAGTGTCCCGATGCTTTTCTAATACTGCTCAGTCAACAGCCGGCATATCATCAGATAACGGTCATCAGATTAGCAACATGCTTAAATGAACTCTATGTCTAACGTTGCTTTAATCTGGGGAGGAGCACAGAATAATTTTTCCCTGAAAGACGTTCTATCCTGACACATTTGTGTTGGGCTCACATTTTAAACTTAGCCTAACACAAAAAGCAAGTGAAGTAAAAAAAAAAGCAAAAAAAGCATCTCCTACACTTCCTATATTTTCCTTGCTGCACGCTCATCAGATTAGAGGACCAGAACTAATGATTATATACTATGGTATAGCTAGGGCTGGGCGAAATAACCAAAAATATTACAGAAATTACAATTATTTTCATATCGTTCAATATCAATATTAATTTCATACCATTATTGTTGTAATAAATGCATTCTGAATGTTTGTTGAGAATGGATGTAAAAAGAACTTGTTTGTTTAAAAGCAAATTCCACTGAGTAATCTTTTAATTTAGGACCCCATAAAATCCATTTTATTTTTTCCCCCAAATTCACAAAATATATCTTGGTTATGCTATATATTATAAAATTAACTCAATGTAAAGTTTTAATAAATTGTATTGTTGTTGATATTATTATTGTTGTTATTATTACATTGAAAATTGTATACAATAGTAATATATTTGTGGCATTATTCTACAAGGTAAAACAAATATTTATTTTGGTGGTTTGTCGTGAAGATTTTTGAGTTTCAGTCTGTATTTGACAGTACCTTTTATCAAATGAAACTATGATGTGAAAAATCAGCTTTGGAGATGAATTTCATTTGGAGTCTCCTCATACAGCGAGACGAGACAATCAATATCATGGACTTATTTTTTCTGGTGAATACTGATATGGATTTATCGCTTAGCCCTAGATATAGCTAATATAAAAAGCAAACAACACAATGTGTGTTGAACCATGAAGAAAATGAGAAACAGTTGGTGTACTTGGCATTCACAACACCACTCGCGCAAGACCCTAAACCTCTACTCACCAAGTCGGCTTTGCTTTTCCCTGCAGGCAGTGGTCAGTTTTGCCAGTTCCTTGTACTTTGCAGCCAACTGCAGCTTGCCGTTTTGAAGGTGAGGGCGTTGTGAAAGGCTCTCTTCTGCAAGACTCCGATTGGTTACTAACAAGGAATCCCTGTCCAGCTGGAGCTCCTGGAACTGAACACAAATTTCAGTTAATCATCGCTCAAGAAACAAAACTAGGGCAAAAAAAGCAGAACACAAAGGCTGATCCATCTTTAATACAATCTAACACCAATCAATTGATCCTACAACCTAAAGAAAGTCCAAGATGTGTTAATCAGTGATGAGTATCACAGGTGGGAAATAAATCACATGTTTATTTTAGATCTGTGTGGCAGCAGCATTATACTTAAATAAATCAATAAATCCACTGCTCTCGTCTCCTCTGAGGCTGGGACTCTAAATAGTGTTCTGTGTTCGTCTGTGCAGCCAAAGACAGAACAGTTAGCATGTTTTGCTCAAACTTTCGCCATGGCATTAAAGCTGGTACACCGTTGTCGCTTGCAAAATCAAAATAATGGCGCCGTGGGTGGAAACTTACAGATTAAGGGGTGGTAATATTATAATGAGATCCCTTTGCCATGTCACCAAGGGAGCGAAATCAGACGTGCTCGTTTTCTCAGACGCTTGCAGAAAAAGGCTTACCAAAACAAAGTTACTGGGTTAATCTTTTTCATGTTTCCTTGGTTGGTAGATGCACCGGGGACCTGATTATAGCACTTAAAACCCGGAAAAGTCAGATTTTCATGATATGTCACCTTTAAGTTCATTTCTTATGTACCGTGTACATTTATACTGTGTGTGAAAAATAGCAAATGCGGTATTATAAAATCAACATTTTGTTTATTCTATTAAATAACTGTAAATATTGAAGCAAATTTACATGAATGTATTATAAACAATATTACATGAAAAGTAGATGAGTACAGTTGAAAAATCTTGAGAAAATTTGACAAACTTCGAGGTTTGAATGTTTTATTGAAAAAGAACGGCAGAAACAAAGTCAGATGAAGACGACGTCTCAGACATGCCATATTAGACCTCTTCAGACCCCATTTGACCCCCAAAGAAACCATATCAAACCAGTTCAGTTCCCAATAAACCTTTTCAGACCAATTAGATCTGATCAATAAGATCAAACATGAAAGCACATCAGACCACCTTTCTAAGCATTGCTAGAGTGTCTCTAATAGTGTTTCTTAACAAGTGTTGTTAAGCATGGTTAGCATGTTACTTGGGGTTGCTAGCGTGATTTACTCTGTTCGAATATTAGAGTATAATCTATTAGATTAACATGTTTTAGTATGTTGCTAGCATGTTTTAAGTTTAGCATGCTACTGTCATGCTCCTAAGCTATTTTAGCATGTTGCTAGCATGTTTCTAACAGGTTTTAACATCTTGCTAGCATGCTTTAGAATGATAGGATGTCCTGTAACTTATCACGGCTGCATCGATTTACAAGAGATAGCTGGAAGCGAAAGCTTGTATTGCTTGAGGTTTTATTACATAGCATACTGTATAAACAGAGTCTAAAGCTTTTCTTTTTGCATATTGAAAGAGCACGTTCCACAACTGAGGGATTTTTTTACTCATTTGGATCAGGTCAACTTTTGTTTCAATGTAATCCTGTGTAGACGCTGTTAAGAATGCAGTTCCTCAAACAAGATGGCCATCAAGGTCAAACCACAGAAGTCAGGAATGCAAGAACAAAGAGAACTCGGAATGTATTCAGGACTTATGAGGCGTACAGAGTGAGTGTGAATAATGCAACTCAATACATCAAATTTCTCAGGGGTCATATGAGGTTAGGTTATTATGCCAGGCACAGAATCCATGAACGTTTCCAAGAGAGATTGTAGGAAATTTAAAAAAGAGAAAATAATAGCCTTCAGTTTTATACTAACTTGACTGAGGATTTTAGCTAATGTGTACAATGATTTGTAGAGAAAGATCCTTGAGTTTCATGAGAACAGTGAGAACTGGGTATGGCTTGGGCAAGGGCCCACATCTGTGTGAACAAAGACCTTTAGCATTTAGCTGAGTATGAGTTTACTAAGATTTAAGACTATGTAAAAAGAACTGGTTCTTTTTAGTAAATAAAAACAGAGCATAGCAAAAGTAATCCAATTGATTAACAAATTACTCTTATGTACCGTTACTTTGTAGTGAATAAAAAACATACCTCACAACAAGTACATATCGATTAAAAAACGATGAATATGAGTCATTCAATCCATCAAAAAGACTCAAGACATACTCAGGAGACCATTTGAATCAGTCCAGTGGTTCCTTCGCTGAATTAACTTACAGAATTAACCAGCAGAGCAGTTATGGAATCAAGCTATCATTACTTTTAGTGATATGTGACCCTGGAGCACAAAACCTTAAGTCTTAAGTCGCTGGGGTATATTTGTAGCAATAGCCAAAAAAACATTGTATGGGTCAAAATTATCAATTTTTCTTTTATGCCAAAAATCATTAGGATATTAAGTAAAGATCATGTTCTATGAAGATATTTTGTAAATTTCCTACCGTAAATATGTCAAAACTTAATTTTTGATTAGTAATATGCATTGCTAAGAACTTCATTTGGACAACTTTAAAGCACTCCAATTCTTGAATCGATTTTGCTTGACAGTCCTCATAAGGCTGCGGTTCTCTCGGTTGGTTGTGCATTTTTTTCTTCCACACTTTTTCCTTCCACTCAACTTTCTGTTAATATGCTTGGATACAGCACTCTGTGAACAGCCAGCTTCTTTGGCAATGAATGTTTGTGGCTTACCCTCCTTGTGAAGGGTGTCAATTATTGTCTTCTGGACAACTGTCAGGTCAGCAGTCTTCCCCATGATTGTGTATCCTAGTGAACCAAACTGAGAGACCATTTTGAAGGCTCAGGAAACCTTTGCAGGTGTTTTGATTTGATTAGCTGATTGGCATGTCACCATATTCTAATTTGTTGAATTGGTGGGTTTTTGTTAAATGTGAGCCAAAATCATCACAATTAAAAGAACCAAAGACTTAAACTACTTCAGTCTGTGTGCATTGAATTTATTTAATACACGAGTTTCACAATTTGAGTTGAATTACTGAAATAAATGAACTTTTCCACGACATTCTAATTTACTGAGATGCACCTGTATATATATATATAAAATTGTTTTTGTTTTTTTTGCACTCGAAATTCAAATGAAAGCTTACTTCAAACTTAATTTTTTGGTTGTGTTCATTATTATATCTATTCAGGGCTCGACATTAACGCTTGTCCGGGACAAGTGGATTTTGTGAAGGGGCAAGTGAAAGAGAATTTTACTTGCCCGACCGGACAAGTAACCTGATTAAAATGTTAATAACAAACAATAACTAGGGCAGCACCGAAACTTTGGCGAGAATGATTCTGATTTTATTACTTTCAGTGTAAACGGTGACTGATAACGGAGAATGTAGGCCTATTGACAGTATCAAAGTCGCATCAGTTGAGGCTCGTGCAGCCTGACTGACTCATGGAGAAATCAAAACTATAAGCGCAACAGCACACACAAAGAAACAAACATGAACAAACATACTGCGGTAGAAAGAAAGATAAATATTCTATATAATATATGCAACATCACATGACCAAGAGTGATGTTTTCCCGACTTTCAGCACGATTGCAAATGTGACATTGATTTTATACAACTTTAGTTCAATAAAGTAATATTAACGGACTTACATTTTAGACACATTATTGACAGTTTTTGCTCCATTTCGCTAATGAAAATAGTTCTAAGCAAAGTCACAGCAGAACAGTCGCGCATCTCCGAGCAACACACAACAGTTCTGTTACTGAATGATTCAGCATTTTTTAACGAATCGGGTGAGTCAATGATTCAGTGAGACACTCATAAAGACAGTCACTTGCTTCATTTATTGAATGAATCAGCCGTTTGAACGAATGGTTGAATCAGTGACACACTCATTAAAGGGATAGTTCACCCAAAAATGAAAATTTGATGTTTATCTGAAACAAAGTCACCTACATCTTGGATGCCCTGAGGGTAAGCAGATAAACATCACATTTTCATTTTTGGGTGAACTATCCCTTTAAGACTGTGACTTGCCCCCACCTAACGGTGGTTTGAATTCATATTTAAAAGCATCATTGCATTTTTCCAACATTTCATATTTGTATGTCAAAAAAGTTAAACATTAATCTAACAACATTGTTTATGCATTTGCAATTTTTAATAAATGCATTTATGGAACCTCTTATCTTCATTAAACAGTCTGAGTAAATACATCTAAATGGCACTTTCGATGCAGCTTCTGTGTTTCCTCTGCAGTGGAAAGATGGAGTTTGTTGATACTGATTTCATTTGAATGGTAACAACCATATAGTGTCTTATTATTCTAGTTGAATGTATTGATACAATTTAAGAATTTTACATAAATGGTGACATTGAATAAGGTTAGGAAAATATTGCCCTTCATAAAGTTAAAAAGTGTAACAGAAATCAATTTAAGGCAAATATCACAAATATGCTGATTTAAGTAATACATGATAGAGCACTGATGACTGTTGCTTCAGAATAAATTACATTTATGCCAATAAAAAAGAAAAAAGAAAAAAAAAGAACCACCTTTTTTAAAGTAACTTTTTTACTCGGACAAGTGAATGACTGATTTACTTGTCCGAAGGACAAGCACATGTCAAGGCTTAATGTCGAGCCCTGCTATTTAAAAAAAAATCAAGTTAACTGCACAGTTTGGGCCCTGCTGTTAATTTGTTTAAATCTTTTTTTCTTACCTTTTTCCTCTTAAAGGATTAGTTCACTTCCAGAATAAAAATGTCCTGATAATTTACTCACCCCCATGTCATCCAAGATGTTCATGTCTTTCTGTCTTCAGTCGCAAAGAAATTCAGGTTTTTGAGGAAAATATTCCAGGACTTTTCTCCAAATAATGGACTTCAATAGGGATCAGGAAATTTTTATTCTGGAAGTGAACTCAGCAGCTGAGAGAGACTTTCTTTCATACAAGTAAAATGTATATTTTAACTGAAATACAATCAAAAGAATCACAAGTGAATCAATTTTGGTAGTCATTCAAATCGAGGGCTTGTGAATTGCGAAATGAATAACAATAACCAGTTATTCTA